CCCAGTTCGATGACTCACTGACACTAAAGATTTATCTGTTACAGTTTGTAAATTATTATGCTTCCATATTTTATATAGCGTTTTTCAAGGGAAAGTTTGTGGGACATCCAGGGCAATATAACAAAATATTTGACTATCGACAGGAAGAGGTACACTTCGATTTCGCTTTCCTTCCCTTTGTATAATAACAAATTATATTTTATCACCTTCCAGTGCTCTTCAGGCGGCTGTTTGACTGAACTCTGCATTCAGCTGGCAATCATTATGATTGGCAAACAAACCTTTAACTCCATACTGGAAGTGATAATGCCCAAGATATGGCGCAAAATTATGGCCATACAAGTGGGTCTCTCACGTCTGTTTAGCAGCACGACTCATGATGTGAATAAGGAAAAAGTGGAGCGCTATTTGCGTGATTTGAAATTACTAGACTGGGGTCCGCGCAGCTTGTTTCCGGAGTACTTGGAAATGGGTAGGTGTAGCAGTTATTTTGTTTTTTCCACAGTCACAACATCTTTTTTACCCTTCATTTATAGTGTTACAGTATGGCTTTGTTACATTGTTCGTAGCCGCCTTCCCCTTGGCACCGTTTTTTGCTTTACTCAATAACATTTTCGAAATGCGTTTGGATGCGAAAAAGTTGCTGGCAAACTACNGGTGAGTTCAATAGCAGTATGTTTATAAGAGCCAAAACAGGATTTTTAATCATTTATGAGTGAGAATAAAAGTTTTTGTGTTATACTGGGTTTGAGAAAAAGGTACTAAGTCCATTTTTAGAAATTTTAAAGTAGAGGAAAAAAACTTCTTATAGTCATTTTCTTCAAGTATTTGGAAATACTTTTGAAGGCAACATTTTGAGTGTTTAATACAATGAGCATTTTCTGTGCTTCTTTTGGACTTAGCAAATAAAACAAGTAGCCTTTCACTCTAAGATGACGATGTACATACCTAGTTGTGCATTTATGCCAGCCAAAAATACCTTACTAAAGTAATCTTCAAACATTATCACTTCCATCTGCTCCTAAAT